CATATTCATATATAGATTTCTGGTAAGACAGAGGATCACAGGTGTATTTTAGTCAGGAATGTTCCTGAAATAAAATATCTTTTAAAACATACAGGTCTTGAGAAGTCAAAAAACCAATTAGCAGGAAGTCTCTTTCTGTGTGTGGACATTTATATGAATGAGCCAAACCCCGTTAACTCCACACCTATCGTTTTCCTTCCATTATTTTAGTGTCACTTCAGACACAACAAAAGGCTGACATTTTCTCCATTTGGAAGAATATGAGAGTCTCAGAGAAATTAGAATTTTTGGTTGTTTTGTGTTTTCTTCTAACTAAGGGCCTCTTTTAAGATACTTTTTTCTCAAAATCCTACCGATCAGAATCCTGCTAACCCACAGCAATTTTATTCTCTGCGGGAGATGAGCTAACTGGGATGATTGCTAATTACGCTGTTTTTGAATTTAGATTAAAGGTATTGAAATCACTCTGTGAGGTGGAATTTGATTAGTTTTGAATGCTCCTCTAAACGAAGCTTGGATGTTGGCTGGGACAAATGGGCTTAGGGTCACCCTTTTCTCTGAATACAGAAGCAGAAGCGTGATGGCCAGTACTCCATGGCCTCTGATATTCCTGTAGTTGATGACTAAAAAATAATGGAAAGGAACAACTATAGAAGCTTATTCCTTACATGCACAGATTTTTAAAAATATCCTCTTGAGCAGAGTTAATATTGCTAATGTTAAGTGGAAAATGTTCTTAGCAAATAATTTAAGAGAGGGAAAAAAGAGAGGAAATAAAGTGTAGTAATTAAGATCTCTTCTTGAAATCATCACCTGATTTAATACTCCAAGAGAAATGGAAAAGAAACGACACTTCCCTGTTCTAATTTTAGCATCACCTTTCGGCAACTAATTAAAGGGATATTTTGAAAGAGCCTTTATGCACTTACGACAACTTTTCTAAAAGGTTTCTAATAAGACAACTTTTCTTAATAAGAAGTACTGATTTTGAGGGGTTTTTCTTCTTTTTGCATTTATAACCATTATGACAGGCTGAATGGGCCACTTAACTGAACTTTACCAGAGGGAAAGCACGTAATAGTCTTTCCATTAGTTCAAGTAGATTTGCTATATAAAACCAAAATCAGGAGACCTCACATTTTTTTTTTTTTTTTTTTTTACTTTTAGAGGCTGGACTCTAGAATAATTATACGCAGATTCATTATACAAGATGATGTTTCTAGTTCAAATGTAGGAAATAACTATGTCCATTTGACTCCCTAACAACTGTCACCTTTTGATCCAAAACAATTATTGACCGTGAATCTTTACTTCAAAGTGGAAAACTACAAGAATTCATGGGTGCATTTGAAATTGAAATGCTTCATTGTTTACTGACCATTCATAATGATAAGAATAAACCTAAATTCCAATAAAAAGAATAGTTCAGAAAAACTACAAGTTTGAGCCTGCCAAACATATAGCCATAAATGTTTTTTTAATTTTTTTTAATGTTTATCTTTTAATTTTATTTTTGAGAGAGAGAGAGAGAGAGAGCGCGAGCATGAGCAGGGGAGGGCCAGAGAGAGAGGGAGACACATAATCCAAAGCAGGTTCCAGGCTCCGAGCTGTCGGCAAGAGCCTGATATGGGGCTCAAACTCGCGAACCGTGAGATCATGACCTGAGCTGAAGTTGGACACTTAACTGACTGAGCCACCCAGGCGCCCCAGCCATAAATGTTGATTGACAGTAGCTTCTGTATTGCCAGTCCTGTCTGGAAGCAAAATCGGGATTGTGATCTCCATGCCGCGTTCTCCCACCATTGTCCAACAACATGTTTTTGTGATGTGGGTTGTTTTTGTTTGTATTTTTGTAATCTTTAGCAGCAGAAGCTCCAAATAATGAATATTAGATATTTTGCTACTGGACATGTGAGGTCACAATGAACTAGGCAGATGGCTAGACACTCTTCAAACTGGGCATGTGCTTTTATAGACACATCACCTGTCTTCCTCCTTAACTGGGAAGTAAACTTTATTATTGAAGCATCTGTTTCATTATTTTACCCCTAAGCTATAAACCATCGTTTGGCTCCTTTTTATAATTTTGATATAGATGTTGAAATTTGCCCAGTATACTTTCTGTATATCAAATTGTACCCGCATAAATTCAAGTTATATTTGCCTTTGCTACAGTGGGTTTCTTCCACGATTTTCGGCAGTGAGACACTATTGTCTATGTATCTGGTCTTTGTATAGTGTAGCTGTATATACTTCTGATCTGGTTGATAGTAACACTTGCTAGGGTCTATAGCAGAGCTCTTTATAATCAGTATCTGTTTATATATACCATAGCAATATGACTTGTGCTTTCAAATTGTAAGACATTAATGAAGAAAGTTCTAAAACTTACTTTGGTGCCTTTGTTATACCCAGGGACATGTCTTGTTTCAGATCGTATTTGTGCATGAAAGTTCTGTGTTGGGTCAAGAACAAAATAAGAATGTCTCCTCTCATCACTTGCTTTCAACATTGTACTGGAAGCCCTAGCTAATGCAATAAGACAAGAAAAAATATACACAGATTGGAAAGAAAGAAATGAAACTGTCTTTGTTAACAGATGACATGATTATCTCTGTAGAAAATTGGAAAGAATCAGCAACAAAAATTTCCTGGAACTAGTAAGCCATTATAGCAATGTTGTAGGACACATGCTTAATATACAAAAGTCAATTGCTTTCCAAATATCAGCAATGAACAATTGGAATTTGACATTAAAAACACAATATTATTTCCACCACTACCAAAAAATAAAACACTTAGCTATAAATCTAACAAAATATTTACAAGATCTTTGTGAGGAACACTATAAAAACCCTGATGAAAAAAATCAAAGAAGATATAAATAGATGGAAAGATATTCAATGTTTGCAGATAGGAAGGTTCGATATTGTTAAAATGTCAGTTTTCCCCAGTATGATCTATAGATTCAGTACAATCCTAATAGAAATCCCAGCAGGTTACTTTGTGGGTATTGACATAAAGTTTATGTGGAGAGTTAAGAGATCCAGAAAAGCCAACACAACGTTTAAAAAGAAGAACAAAGTTGGAGGATTGGTGCTACCCAAATTCAAGACTTACTCTAAAGTGGCAGGAACCAAGACAGCGTGGTACTGGTGAAAGAACAGACCAGTAGGTCAAAGGAACAGAATAGAGAGCCCAGGTAGACCCAGGTAAATATAGTTAACTAATCTTTGACAAAGAGCAAAGTTTGATAGAGAAATGACAGTTCTTTCAACACATTATACTAAAATAGCAGGACTTCCTCATGCAAAAAAAAAATGACTTGAAAGGGATCATAAATCTAAATGTAAAAACAAAACTACAGGAACTCCTGAGTGGCTCAGTTGGTTAAGCATCCGACTTTGGCTCAGGTCATGATCTTGCTGTTTGTTGAGTTCTACCCCCACATCAGGCTCTGCACTGGTGGTGCGGAGCCTGCTTGGGATTCTCTCTCTCTCCCTCTCTCTCTGCCCCTCCCCAACTTGCTCTCTCTCTCTCTCTCAAAATAAATAAACTTTAAAAAAAAGTATAAAACTTTTTAAACAATAACATAAGAGAAATTGTAGGTGACCTTGGGTTTGGCAATGAGTTTTTCATTTAACACTAAAAACAGCAATCCGTGAAATAAATAATTGATAAGCTGGACTTCATTAAAATTAAAAATGACTGTCCTATGAAAGACACCACTAAGAGAATGAAAGGATGAGCCACAGATAGAGGTAAATATTTGCAAAACAAGAAAAACACATCTGATAACGGACTGCTAACTAAAACATGCAATGAACACTTAATACTCGGCAATAAGAAAACAACCCAATTTACAAAATAGAATATCTGGACACCTCATGAAAGAAGGTACACAACTGGAAAATACAAAAATGAAAAGATGCTCCACATTATAGGTCATGTAGGAAACGTGAATTAAAACAAAAATGAAATACCACTGCAAACGCATTAGAATGTCTAAAATTCAAAACACTGACAATGCCAAATACTGGCAAGGACGTGGAGCACCAGGAACTCTGATTAATTGCTTGTGGGAATGCAAAATGGCATGGCCACTTTGGAAGACAGTTTGGTGATATTTTACAAAGCTAAACATAGTCTTACCATACGATCCAGGAATCACACTCTTCAGTATTTACCCAACTGAGCTGAAAACTTATGTCCACACATAATGTGGATACAAATGTTTATAGCAGCTTTATTCGTAATTGCAAAAACCGTAAGCAACCAAGATATCCTTTAATAGGTGAGTGGATAAATCAGCTGGTGCATTCGTAGGGTGGGCTCTTATCCGATGATTTAGGAAGTGAGCTCTCAAGCCATGAAAAGACAGAGAACCTTAAATGTATATCTTTGAATGAAGGAAACTGAAGTGATTACAACCTGAGAAGTTTGCATACTGTATGATTCCAACGATATGACATTCTGGGCAAGGTGAATCTGTAGAGACAGTACTAAGAGCAGTGGGCATCAGGGCTTAGGGAGAGAGGAAGGGATAAATACTGGAGCATGGGCTTTTAAGGGCAGTGAAACCACTCTGTTTGTTACTGTGCTGGTAGAACATGGTATTATGAACGTCTTAACGCCGGTGGAGTGTACAAAGAGTGAATACCAACACACATTTATATACTTAATTAATATTAAGCATCAACATTGGCTCATCAATTCTAACCAATTTACTACACTAACACGAGAGGTTAATGATAGAGGACACGGTGTGCTGGGTAGGAGGGAGAAGGTATGATGGAGCTCTTGGTATTTTCTGCTTAATCTTCCTGGAAACCTACAAACCGCTCTAGAAAATAAAGCCTCAGCTATTTTTCAAAAGGTCTGTATTTGAAAACAGTTGCGTTATTATCTCGTGCAATTCGTTAGTGTGTGTAAATCTATGGGAATGAAACTAGTAATGCCATTTAACAGAATTCCCCCCCCCCTTTTTTTTTCTTAACCAGCCAGAATTTATACATACATGCTCGAGAAATCCAGACTTGTTTCACAGCCTCTTGGCCAGAGCAATTTTCTCATTTTCTACTTGTTGATGGATGGGTTATCTGCTGAAGAAAAATACGGGCTTCACCTTAATAATTTATGTGCACACCGGTAAGTGACTGCATATTTTCTACGTGGTAATTCCGTCCTGAAGTCGTGGTGGCATTTAAGCAGTCTTAAACTTTCTCCTGATTTTTCAGAGAAGTGGTGGGTGGGTCAAAGAGAAAAATTGGGTACTGTTAGGTTACAACCTGTAAAAGGATTGCAACAGTTTTGTTTTTTTTTTTAGAGTGTTGAGGTTTGTGTACGTATTAAGTTGTGTTTCTGTTTTCCTAATTTTCAGATCAGAATTAATAAGCGAGCATCTATATAAACCTTTCTGTTCCTTTGGGTATTCTGGATATAATGTTAGTTATGCATTCCTAATCTTTGGCAGTCTTTTGAAATAATGGGCAGTATTATGTGGCAATCACCGTTCATTAGTAACAGATGAAATTGCATAAGGGATGAAGACAAAGGGCACAGAAACCGAGGAGCTCATTTGCTGCCCTGGAGGCAGAAAGCATTTGTTCAAATGCAGATGCATTGGTCATAGGACAGGATGGAGGTGAGGGACTCCTAAAGATAGGAGCTGAGGAATGTCTTCACGCTGAGGGTATTTCTGCCACCTGCCCGATCCCATGTGTCTCCCCATGCGGATTGGTCCAGAGTTGGATCGGGATGAGAAGAAAACAGTGGGCAGAGTGAGCCCCGCTCAGGGGAGAAAAACAGGTGCAAAAGGCAGCAGAGGGAGCTGGGCGTACCGACCAAGCTCTCTAGTAAATCTGGGACAGGGCAGAGGCACTAGACTCCGAAAGAGATACGGATTTATTTCAGGTGCCTGCTAACATCTGACTTGGAGTTACTGCGTGTTTGTTATTGGATTCAAGAAGAGTGGCGTGTGTTTCATGATTTTTGAGCACCCTTGCGAGAAAAGTGAAAGAATGCCTGAGGAGGAGGACCTGGCTTGCTGGTTGAGGCATGAAGGCAGAGAAGCCTCTGGGGCTGCAGGGTCGAGATGCCAAGTGTGAGAGATGGGGCTTTTCCGGGGTGATAGGGTCTACGGGGCTCCTGGAATGGATTGGAGGGACAATGGGGCAGCCTCTGTCGTGGCCACTGCCGTGAGGCGTTACTGAGAGTGGGGCACAGGGCCACTTGAAGGGGATGAACGGCCCTGTCCTAACTTACCACGACGTTACCAACCACTCTCAGTCAATTTCTTTGAAAATATTACATCCAGGAGTATAGGCACAATGGGTCATGCAGAGCAGGAGAGAAGTAATCAAAAAGTTAAGGCCTTATCAGAATTGTGTTTTATTTACTGAAGGACTTTGGGGGTTTACTGTGTTCCCAAACAACAGAAATTCAGAAGAAAAAGAAAAAAAAAATACTCCTTTTGGAGCATGGTAGCCTAGGTAAAAGTGATTTAAAAAAAAAATATGGAAATGTTAAGCTCCTAGGGCACTGAAAATGTTTTTTTACCAAATCTCCTCATTTCGTGAAGGAGGAACTCAAACCCAGAACCATAAGGAGGCTTGTGCCAAAGGGAATATGTCATGTATCCACAGCACTGAAAGACCTGTTCCCTGGAACGAGCCTTTGTTTTGCTACATTGAGTGTCTCTAATGGGAGACGTTGTCCTTGGGGGGAAACGCATCGGATGGGCAACCCCACGTCAGGTGTTCAGGAGTAGAAGCGAGGGAGAAAAGTCTTACGGATTTCTGTGTTCCGAATCATGCTTATGAGTACAATGTCAATGTAGACAGCAGATAATTGGTTTAGGGGGTTGTCTGTATCTATTTGCACGTGTGTGCCTGGCATTTCGGACTTAGAGCCACTGAAGAGTAAAGGACCGGAATCTTTTCTACCATTCAAAGAAACAATTTAACTTCTGGGTCTGGGGTTTGGACCCGTCTTTCCGAACGTGTGGGCGTGGGGGAGAGAAAACAAGGTCTCCTTTATGGGGGAGCCCGCCTGGCATTCATCCCTCTTTGCAGAAGAGAGTTTGGAATCACTCAGGCTATTTAGAAAGTCAAACAGTCAGGGGTTCCTTTGTGAGAAGCTCCAACAGGAAAGAAGTCAGCAAAATCATGAATCATTCAATTCCCCTGAACAAAGAGGTTATTTTATTAAAATGTATGATAAATATCTAATGGGAACAAAACAACATTCCTCAATAAAAATACACACCACCACTCCAGATTCATAAAAATATCAGTTGGGGCGTTTGTACAATGAGAATAACACAGACATAATGTTCTTTAATAATAAAATAGGGTGTTTTGCAAGTTACAATGCATCATGTGCATCACATTGTTTCTGGGGTTTCTGTGGCGTGGGTCTTCTCCCTTTTATGGTGCTGGCAAGGCTTGGGGAGTTGGTATTTGTCTGACGTTTGAATTGGGGTTGGGGTCTAATCTTTATGGAGTAATGATGTATCTCAAGGACCATAATTTTTGAAATTGTTTGGGTCATTTGCAATCGGCGGTGTAAATCTCAACTTGCTAGCTTTCTGACCTTTCACAGACCAGTGGCCCTTCTGAGTTTCCCCCTTAAAATCAGCACCCAACAGGTATGGGAAAAAATCACGATGTATAAATAGACTATTAGGAAGAGTGCTGTTGTTACCATCACATCTACTGATCTGATTTTCTTTACAGAGATGTTGAGGTATCTGTTAAATAGACCATCCAGGGGCACCTGGGTGGCTCAGTTGGTTAAGTGTCAGACTTTGGCTCAGGTCATGATCTCACGGTTCATGGGTTCGAGCCCCACTTCGGGCTCTGTGCTGACAGCTCAGAGCCTGGAGCCTGCTTCAGATTCTGTGTCTCCCTCTCTTTCTGCCCCTCCCCTGCTTGAGCTCTCTTCCTCTCTCAAAAATAAACATTAAAAATTTTTAAAAAAAATAGACCATCCAGATATGCCTTTGCTTATTCAATGTTCATCCCACAGTGCAGCTTGAACTGAAATGTTGATGAAGTATGTTGAGTCTTAAGGCAAATAATACCAAGAATTGTGAGCCTGCTTCCTGCAAATGTACCTCTTTCCTTCTTTAATAACAACTCATTGCCTGCGTGGAACATAAAATAGACATGGAACAGTAACTGGGGGCTGCAGACATACTCGGTATCCGTCATATGTTCTTATGTAATTGAACTCCAAAGAGAAGGAAACATTGCTGGAGCTAATGCTTTATAATTAAAGCTACATAAGTGTCTTTTTTTAAACTTTGACTCTGTTTTTGGAATTAAAAGTTTTCAGAGTCTCACATGAAAATTTATGAAGGTTTATTTCAGTGTTAAATGCCCCTAAAAATACTTTCCTGCTTGTAAAATTGGAACAATACCTAAAACAAGCAGATAGCACTGTTGCTTAACCATGGAATAAAAATGGTACAGCCATGAGTTCCTATAGCTGAACTGCATGGAGACAATATTTATAACACTTTGCATAAGGATTTTTCTGTGCAGATTGTTAAAACAACAACAACAAGATGTCAAGGAAAAACAAGTCTCTGGGTCACTAACATTTAAAGCAGGGAAAATAAGATTGCATTTACCAAGAATTTCCACTAGATGGTGCCATCTCCACAAAGTCAGGAGCTAAAAAAAAAAAAAAAAGGCTCATCACTAAAGGTTTCTTTTTGATTTATGGTTCTTCCTATGATTTACTTCTTTTTCCTGGCTGTTTGTTTTTCAAGTTCTATTTCAAACTCCTTTGTACGTATTCCTAACCTTGCATCTCAGGATAAATATAGTCCACGTTCGTGGGATTGGGCTTTAATGAAAGTTAGACACAGTCGTTAATTGCTTATCTTTGGTGTGCTTTAAACAGCGTTTACAGGTTTTCATCCCAGAACAGTTGGGCTCCAAAATGCAAAGAAGTTATTCCTAATCTGCCTTCATACTGATGAGCGTCGTAAAATTATTGCCGCCGCACCGCATAGTAACATTTTCAGAAAAGGTCAGATTGTGAATTACAAGCTGAGAGCAAGCAGCCCTTGACTCAGAGCTTGTGACCTGTTTCTAACCTTGTGTGTTAGGAAACTCTGACTCATCCAGTATTTGAACTTGTGATTGCTGCCTGGGAGTGCACCTGTCACCGAGGACGCTGTGGCAGTTAACGCTCACTGAGACTTCATTTCTTTCGCTCAGGGTTTCTTATGCACATTTAACTTGGCTTGAGAAAGTTTCACATAATTGAAAAATAGGTAAGGGTAAACTTACGTTATTATTTGAGGATGACTCTTCATTTGGTTACATATTTTAGGCAAGCAAATCTTGAAGGTGCTCCCAAGACACAGTTTCAAGATAAGAGGAATCAAAATGTATCTCTACCTGACTCTATTATGAGTTATCTACACGATAATCACAACTGTGATACCGACAACTTAGAGAGCAGCGCCCATCATCCTCCAGACCCCGTCCTACTATTCTCTTCCCTGTCTCTTTGAATCCTCACCTGGACCTGAGCAGAGGACCGCTCCTGCATCAGAGAGACCAGGGCATGAAGAGGGAGAGGTCATCCAGAAGCCAGACTGGAGTCTAAGTCCTGCTGACCCTCACCCTTCACCCTCTGTATTGTGCCCACAGCAACGTGGCCTGTAAATTGGCAACCACTGGCTTTGCCACTGTGCGTCGGGGACATCTTTAAGGAAAATGAAAGTGAAAGCACGAGGTCGATGTTTGTGTCCAGGTTTTTATTTAGAATTAGTTCAGCAAAACTAAGTCCGGACATTGTGGAGTCTGTCACCTCTATCATAAAAAGCAGTTCTGGGTTACTTCTTTCTCAGGTAGAAAAATTAAAATTTTAAGCCATAAGAGATTGCATCATCCTCGCTGAAGGTTAGAATATTGAAAATAATGGAAAGGGTTGGGTCACCTCTGTATATGGCCAGGTAAATTTCACTTGTGAAAAGCCAGTAGCGAGGATTCAGGGTCAGGGGTTTCTTCCTTCTTTCCATTTTGGAGTCACGTGCGCCCAGATGAGGAGAGAGAGGGGAAAAGAAAACAACAAACCACACCGGTATGAGGGACATGTTCTACCTCTTTAATTAGTCTTCAGAATCCTAT